ATTATTATTATTTTTATTTTTTTTGCAGAAGATTAGAAGTATTTCGCTAAATGTCACAAAAAATAATTTCTGGAAATACCCCATGCACGTTTTGTATATGAAAACATACTTATGGGTTATTTGTAAATCCAGCATTCGTTTTGCCACATCAAAACTAATTCAATTCAAGAATTTATTAATTTAAAAGATGTTCCCAGTTCAGCTCTGAATGGTGTGAATGGTACTTCTGGTGACAATACAACACTGGTAGTATAAAAATGGATTGTAGTAAAAAAAAAAAATGACTCGGTATGAAAGTGAATTATTGTGAGCTGGGTGAAAAGTCATGGAAATACTAGAGGTGAGGAAAAAAAGGAAACTCTTGGCCCCTGTTGTCCATTCCATCACATCCCGCTATTGTCATACACACACACACACAATGTGTGTTTGTCCCGTAAGGAAAAATGAACATGTTCACATGCTCTGATAACAGTGACTGATGCTGACCAGTAGATGTGTAACTACGTGACCAAACGTTGCTTGTTAAGGGTATGTTTATCTGTGTGTGCTCATAGATCTAGAGAACCTTCAAGTTCCACAGAAAAATAATAACAGCATGGAACAACATGAGGATAGTAATTCTCATGGATAGTAAAAACTCATTTTTGGGTGAACTATTCCTTCCTCTGCACTTCCTCCTGTACTTGCACACACGCTAAGGACAAGCGGAAATGTACATCCTTCCTGAAGGCCATGTTGAGGTCAGATGCAGGTTTCTAAATTTGTAGTATTGACTATTGCGTGACCATCGGACGCCTGTTTAATTGCTGGATCATTCTCTGTTTTGTGTTACCAAACAGTTTTTGCTTTTACTATTCGGTTTGGTGACACTAGTGGATCTTTAACCCTATAAAGCCTACTGTATCAAGTTGCTAAGGACTGTAAATGATCAAAACTTTGCTGTAAAACCTGTTGCACACAATCTACTACATGCCTTCTGTTGTCTGCTTGAGGCCTTCTAGTATGATTGTACAAACATGCACCTTCAGCTCACGCTTCACGTGTCATTTTGCTGTGAAATCTTTACTGAATTGTATCAAAATAAACTTTTATATCGTTAGTAATATTTCAAGATGAACACTTACTGGGCTGAAGCAACTTAGCTTTACTTGATTATTCATGCATAGATTTTAGGGAAAATCATGTTTAAATGTGAGTCTCAAATATGATCATCATTGTACTGTATTGCATTATATGTTTTGATCATCAAACTAAGCATTTAAATATCATCTTACTAACATTATTGGCAGATATAGAGTGATGACTGATATTTATATCATTTTATGTAACTATCTGCTATACCGATTTACATTACAAGCTATTAGAATTTAGTCTTTTTTATGATTTTTGGCTAAATATCAGCACAAAAGTGCACAAAAATAGCATATTTTTGCTCAGTATGAATAATGAATAATGAAACAGGTGTTTTTTCCTCCTCAATGTATGAGCTCTGTATTCTCACTATATTATATGAGCCATAAAAGCCTGATGTATCAAATATGATACTCAACAAAAAACACACATACAAACTTTTTTTTTTAATTTTGTCTAAATGTTCAATAAATTGTTCAATTTGCATTTACATTTACATTTTTGTGACTATTATTTAATATGTCAGACTTTACAGGGATTAGAAGTGACCATAAAAAGCTTTTTTCACGTGCCACAGTGATGTCTTTGAACTACCTTCACTGAGGAGCTTTTCTCAGCGACTATTAATGTGATTCATTTGATTAATTATTAACAAAGTTTATTGGTGTTCAGACTATGTGACGATTTCCTGAAACTTCTCTCAGGTTTGTCTCAGGTGAGGAATCCTCTAGGAAGTGTGCTGTTGGGGAAGGGAAGTGTGCTTCAGCAGCCATGGCCTAGTGTGGATCCAGAGTACCTACAAACACCTGACACACTGCAGCTGTCCATACGGGTATGTCACACACACACACACAAACACACACACACACACACAGAGAGAGTACCTACA